GGTGTCGGGGGGCTGGGCCTGGGGGGGGCTGGGGACACTGGGGGGGGTCTCAGATGGGGTTGGGGGTGCCAGAAGTCACCGGGGGGGCACCTCCCAGGAGGTCACTGCCACAGCCAGGCTGTCCCTATGGCATCTGGGGGGTGTCCCCAGGGGTCCTGGTAGTGTCACCGGGGATGGCCCAGGGGGTCACCAGGGTGTCACTGTGGGGTCCCAGTGGTGTCATTGGGATGGGGTGGTGGGATCAAAGGGGTGTCAATGGTGGGTCACCAGGATCTCCTCAGGGTGTCACCATGGGGTCCTGGGATGTCTTGGGGTGTCACTGGGGTGGGACGGTGGGCTCCATCCCACCTCCTCCCTACTGTGGCCCCTGTTAGAGATGGGGGGAGGGGGGTAATGCGGAGGATGGCCTGGCCACACCCATGTGACATCACACATGACCTGGTGGAAGGGGAGTGGAGGTACTGCAAGGTGACTTCATACGTGATATCATTGGTGACAACAAAGCTCAGCCCCCGTTTGCTCAGTGGTTGTGGGGAGAGGGGGGGGGGGGGGTGGGGGGGGGGGGGCAGCTGGGGGGGCAGATGGGGACACTGGAGGGACGTCCTCCACCTGGTCAGGAGGACCTCGGACACCTTCTGCCACAGGGTCTGGGCCCCACCCCAGGTGGGTCAATACCTGTCCCACATCTTCATCCATGGTGTCCCCCACCCCAGTTTGACGATGACACCAAACTGGGAGGAGAAGCTGAGACCCCCAGCGGGCCGGGTGACCACCCAGAGGGACCTCAATGGGCGGAGAAACGGCCCATGAGGAACCTCATGAGGTTCAACAAGGGGAAGTGCCCCAAGACCAACAGTGACCTGAGGGGGGGACGGTGAGGACCAAGCGTCACCAGAGGGGTCTGTGGGGACCAGTGGTCACCTGCGGTGGGACTGTGGACATCAGCCTTCACCTGAGGAACCTGTGGGGACAACAGCCACCTGAGGGGGGGACACTGAAGACCAAGTATCACCTGAGGGGTCTATGGGGACCAACACCCCACATCCAACTTCAACCCCATGGGTCAACCCTTGTCATCCAGACCCCATAGGGCCCCATAACCTCTCACAGACCCCATAGGGCCCCTATCGCCCCCCCATCTCCGAGTCTCCCTGCCCCATAGCCCCCCCCACCCCACAGAGCCCAGCTGTTTCCCTGCAGTCTCGTGTCCCCACCTGGGGGTCGATGGCCGTGGGGCCGGTGGGGGAACCCAGGCGTCTGGGTTAATGATTGACCGCCACCCCGCTCACCCTCTGCCACCGGCCCTGGCTGCCCCACACCAGCGGTGCCATGGGGCCACCTTGGGCATTGGGTCTCCTTCTCCTCCTCCTGTTGATGCCAGGGGGCAGCCCCCAGGACCCTGAGTAGGGACTGTGGGGCAGCTATGGG